CAACATATTTGGACTACGTCATATTTTTTTAAACTAGGTATATCGTTATGCTTTTAAAGTTTGGATCAACTAGTGTGTTGGATTTCTCTATCCACCTTTTAGTTCTCTTCTTTTCTTGTGCCTTCCTTTCTCAATACCTTTTAAACTTTTCTCCTATTTAAATTATTCTTTTTTGTTTGGCCAATTAATGATAGAAACTGGTATGCGACCTGTCATTAAAAATTCATATATCCAAACCTGCTAGTGATTTGTTATGTACAGTTTAGTGATATGATTTTAGGTAATATTTTACTTAACAGAAAGTGAAAAAATGGGTAAATGAAATGTTAAGCATGTTTTGTACAAAAAGATAATAATTTTCCCTGATTGGAACCTACGCATAATTAGCCTTTTCATTACATCGAGATAAAAGAAAAATTGTAAGCTACAAGAATAAGAAGCACAATATGGACTTATGTAATTTGCATAAGGTGCTATCGCGTTGAATGTTGCCACTTTAGTTATGTGCTAGAAATTACTGCATGCAAATTACTTACGCTATCAAGTATTGTACGACGAACAAATGACTCTGAATCATGCACCCAGTGGGTATTAAAAAAATAAAAACTCGTTGAATAAATAAATATGAAAGGTCCTTTTATGATTTCAAAAATTGTCTGGAATTAATTTCATCATAGAACAATCGAGCAGACACAAAGTCGTCGATGTGCGCTAATGAGCGTCCTCGGGATATGCAATCTCGCGCCATCTGCCTCTAATCAACGATTGGAGTTAATTAAATCGCGTTGGCAATATGGCGGCAGGCATAATTGCTATTAATAAAGCGCTTTCCTGTATAATTGGACGGCGGCGAGCGCGGATTGGTCGCGCCGCGGACCCTAATCACGACGTGATAACACTGCTCTAATGGCGTACGCCGCGACCGTGCCTATTTCGGAACAGCCCGACTTTCACGTAACGCCGCTTCCGTTTTCAAACTTTACGATTTCATAACAATTCATTAACAAACGCTACAACTTCGCGTACGGCGGCGAACGTTTTAATTGTGCGGTTTAACGGGTTTCCGACAACGGTTTCTCGCTGCAGCGATTAGGGCTGAATCCTTTAATGAGTTCGTTCGTTGCACGTCGCCCGTGAAAGTGTAACGTTAAACGCGCGATTTCTGTTGGGATCCACGGTCGGCGGGAGTCGCAGCGGTGCGTACAGATGCATCGGAGCGGTCGGACGGGAACAATGATTGACGATTTAGCACCTCCGTCGCGCGTCTAATTAAGACGCGGTGCGCGTCGGCGCGTTGCCTAGCGGCACCACTCACTTCGCGGAAACAATTGCGAATCTGTCTGTGAAGAGTTGTTTAACGTTTGTTCACACAGTGATTATAATTTGCATTGACCATTCAGTAAATATAATAGTTTTTAGCTCTGTAAGGTTTTCGATTTCATTTGTTTCGTTTTTGGTCGTTACTGAAGTCATTTCTTTAATGTCAGTGTGTAATCATGTTTTATAAATGGACATGGTAGAGCTGTTTTGAGTCAATTTTGACTAATAAGCGCTAACTTTATGAACAGTCACGCATGTGCATGTAAATTGTAAACTAAAAATTTTATGGTAAAATGCATCAGAAGTTGTTTACAACACAAAACATAATACATAAGACGGCATACGCAATGTCTTCTTGGAAAATAATGTAAACTTTACAGTGATCTTTGTGGTAAATTAAAATGAAATCTCGCGCTACAACTTCGAAACGCAAAACGACACGCACATCGAACTAATTTTACAAGCATAAGTGTCCATTTCCGAACGTCATGTCCCCGTAAAAACAAGGCACACGCGAATAGATTTACGGCTCACATCTAAACCCCGGGCCGTAGACATTGACTTTAACAATGTCATAACCGTAATGAGTGCGCTGTAAACGATAGGCCCTTATTTCTGTCTTCGTCTGGCGCTCATTAAAACGCGCGCGGCCGCGCGTCGATTTGCTCGCGCCTGCCGCCCCGACTTTCGGGTGGTGGGATGATGGACGGCCCCGGTGGTCGTATATCATTCCAGTAGCATCTCTCTGCGTCGAGTGTCGCCATTAACGCGCACGGTGCCGCTTACCCGCGACGCTATAAGCGGCCACTCGCAAATCGACGCGCGCGACCGCGGCTAAGCGCGCATAAATCTCGCCAATGCTATTCTTATTCCCGTCCACGTCCCGCGTCTTACGTACATGGCAATAGTTTGTCTACGTGATTTTACGACGTATCAGTGACGCCACCGCTTTAGCGGAAGCAGTGGTCGCTCGACACACGCTGAGTTGGGATCCATTGTATGAGAAACGACGCTCCCACAATGAGATCTTGCGACGACTATTCCGCCACGAAAAAACGTTTGGACGCATACCGTTTCGAAAGTCGTCAATCAAATACGTATTGTAAAATATCGAGATTTGTGTCCCAACCGGTAAACAACGTAGGCTAACGGCTTGGACGGTTGAAGGCCAATCGAGCGCTATTCAAATCGGTAGGTCAGGAGTCGAGCTGCAAGGGTTCGGCCGTTACGATCGCGAATCACCACCAACTCCCAACCGAGTCAGAAAAAGTTAGCGGCCCCGAGTCAACGAGCTCAGCTTACGGCGGAAGATTTGTTGTTTCCGTTGCCGCGGCCATAGTGCCCACCATTTTGTGTCGATTAGAAGATTGAGTTTCACGCGCGCTACCGACACCAGTTTTTGTGTCGCGCCCCTCTCTGCGCACAACGAGTTTATTATCTTGATGTATTTTTTTTATGGTGTTCGGCATTTTCGAATCGTCATGTTCTGTTTCTCGTTACGGATTTAAGGTGTCCATTTATTTTTTTTCTCTCCGGCATTCACATACCACCCCCTTGTTAACTTAAGGGCGGCAGGAAACCGCAGTGGTATGGTGGAGCATAATAAGAACCATTACGTCGACCAACCACAAGCAATTTCACTAACAGTAAACAAAAACGTATGCCTTTACAAAAATGTCCACCCATTCATCTTTCTCCAACGGGAGACGTTAAAGAATGTCCCCGTTAAGGAGGGGAAGGGGAGCGATAGCTTAGAGCCACAGTCGTATAAAAGCAGTCACAATAAGCCCTATGTGTTTGCTCACGGCGTCAAATAAAAAGTTATACAATTTTCGGCTTTAGCGTTCTTTAACATATCTATGTTTTATTACTTTTTTATTCTAAATACTTATTATTGCTGACAGTGTCTCGCGGAGGGGAACGTGAATATAAGATGGCGAACGTTGTTTAAACTGGCAAAGAGGAAAAAAAGCGTTCGACGTTTTTTAAACACGGAAAAAAGACGCAGGAATTGTATCGCGAAATGTGTGCATGGCATGTGTATTTTTATTTGCGGCGTCGGATTGCATGCAACTATATTGTTGTGCTAATTGGTAGCGATAATTCGCGATAACCTCTGCTCTAATGAGCGAAAGACGATTGGAGTCGCTCTCGGGTAGCAATAATTTCAGCCCGACCAAGTAATTGTCGAATAATTGCGTTAATGTGAAAATATACGCTTTAACATAACAATGGAGGTAGGAAGTCGATACAGTGCGTATAAATTGTAAGCGAGAGTTGAACATAAGAAATATGAATCAGAAAAAAAACTCAGTTTATAAGGCTTGTGTATACAGTCACTAACGTAAAATTTAAGTAAGTCTTAAAATTTTATTTGTTCATTTGATGTTTTATGGATTACGATTAATACTCAATCCAAACAACTAAAATCCACAAATATGCATTACTTATTGTCGGAATAATCAAGTTTGGTCTTAGATACGCAATAGTCAAACATAAACATGTGAAGAATAACATTCGTATTACGTATAATGAGATAACTCTGATACTTGCTAAAATTAGTCTAAAACTAAAATAGCTTTGTGTATCAAAATAGAACAAACAGCACAAATAATAAATTGTTTGATGAAGCCAGTTATGGATGACATTTTGTTTAAAAATTTAAAAGTCATGATTGTAAAATGGTGGTATGAAATAATTTAATTGTTGAAAGACATTTTATTTTGCGACTTTGTCCACGTTTTTTTTTTAATAAAAGTAGCATTACACTGGATAGATATCTATGTAATACCTTTAAACGAACAATTTTTGTATATAATTACATATAATCGGAATCTCGGAAACGGCTCCAGCGATTTGCATGAAATTTAGTATGTACGTAGATTCGGGGGCGAAAAATCGATCTAGCTAGGTTTCATTTTTAGAAAATGTCGTTTTATCCCTGTTTTCAGGGAATGAAAAGTATCATTCGAATATGACGGTCGGTAATCGGGCGGCCCCGAAACAGAAGGCCGCGGTTCGTGTCACGATCATTTACACATTTATTTTTTTACTTTTTTTACCAGATCATTACTTTCTTTATTTTTTATTTTTTAATTTCCAAAATACAAATTTTACCAAAAAAACAGCCCTCCGGGTACTTGTTATATAACAGTGGTATTTTAAAAAGTATCCTATGCTGCTCCTGCATTTAAGCTTACTCAGTTCCAAACTTCATTTGAATCAAAATTCAATTCGAAACAAAGACTCACCAATACTTATGAATAATAGTTGTGTGGTAGTATATGTTACTTCGGTAGACAACGCCCTTTAGGAAAATATATGAAAAACCGTATGTATGAACGACAAGAATGTGGAAGAGGTTAAAGAGGGCTTCGGGGATCGTGAAAATATCATACCGTCTGGCTACCTTTCTAGTGTAACCCAGAAAAGTAAGCAGGCAGCCAATACTATAACAGTAGTAATGTGGTCTAGTCCAAATAATGATTACCTCAGTGCAATGGGTAATCATGTACATTATGTAACATTGTACCGAATGCCTGTTGTTCGAACGGCAGGTTCGTTGTATAGGCTCTTGATAGAGGAAAAATTGTAACGGGATTTCATACACGACAAGTTGTCTGTACACGTAACTGTGTAGCTTAGTAAATATTTGACCCGATGTTGCGTTTTCGCACTAGGCGCATGTTCCCGACGGTGCGCGTGTCGTTCGGCGGGTGCCGCGCGGAGGCGCGGTACGCGGTGCTGCTGGACGTGGTGCCGGTGGACGGCAAGCGGTACCGGTACGCGTACCACCGCTCCTCGTGGCTGGTGGCCGGCAAGGCGGACCCGCCCGCGCCCGCGCGCCTCTACCCCCACCCCGACTCGCCCTTCGCCGGCGACCAGCTGCGCAAGCAGGTCGTCTCCTTCGAGAAGGTCAAGCTCACCAACAACGAGATGGACAAGAACGGACAGGTTCGTGCCACAAGCCTTGTAGTGTCACTTCATCGTTTTTTGAACAACATTATAAGAACCTGCTAGGATGTGATTGATAATAACTGTTGATATTTTCCATAGTTGGTGTTGAATTCAATGCACAAATATCAGCCGCGTATCCACCTAGTGCTGCGGCGGGAGGGCGCCATCAACGCGCCGATCGTCGACCTCGAACAGGAAGAGTTCAAGACCTTCATATTCCCCGAGTGCGTTTTCACAGCGGTCACCGCGTACCAGAACCAACTGGTAAGTTGCACCGAAGTCATCGCCTTATATGCTATTGGGAGCTTCTTCAAAATGTATTATCTTCAAAAGCTATCTTCGAAAAGGAATTCTGTCTCCTGGGGAGATGACAGTTTTGTGTGGGTTTCTACCCAATAAAACTGGGATCCCACCCCACGGGAGATGCGTTTCCAGTTCCTTCGTTGCTTTGCAACAGCGCAGAGACCAATTTGACCTTACCGGGTCCACATTGTGCGGAAGACCAGACCCGGCAACTCAATGCCTTCTTTTATGACAGACAAGACACGACGTCATCGCCCACAACATCCAATTGCGGCCCGAGAATAAGTCGTCAGCCCCATTGGCATCCCCGGCCCGTTGTCCGTATCATTCGATCCCAAAAATAGATCACAGAGCCGAGCGCTCAGGATTGCGACGCGTTGTCGGCCGACCATCGGCCGTTTCTATTCCCATCGCACTAATTGCATCCCGCTGAAAGGTATGTCCAGTCCGAACAAAGGGAGGTGGCGCGTGGTTTTTGGTCTATCAAGTGGCCACACGCGCGCGCGGCCGACGACGGACGCGAGCGCGCCTGACGCGTGCACCACGGCGACGATTAAAGTTTTCAGCCTCGCTAAACATAGCCCGGTCTTCCAGACGTCGATGACGACCGGCTCGCCACTCACTCCGCTAATGGCACCACCGGGCGACCACTAACGCGACTGTCCGAGCGGACACATTAGCGAACGAATCCCGTTTTCCGCATTAACTCGACTTGTCAACAGCAACAATCGTCAAATCAAAGATGGAACGGTAAACTTGGTACGAAAAATCTCCAACGGTCAGCTAAATAGCTATCCGCGTTTTAACGAGCTCATTAGGACCTTATTACTGTGATGCGAAAATATTCTATGGCCGCTTTCACAAATAATCTGGTCTTCAGTTTTTTACCAACTCATATCCTATATGACAACATATATCTTTTAACTTCAAACTGCAATCACGTTATTGACTCCTTTTCAGCGTTGTGTAAGAAAAAAAAGATTTTCTCTGTAAATCTCATTCATTCCATAAAACTAAATTACGGTGAAAAATGTCTTACTCCTAATAGCTTCCGTTCCGGTGGTAGCTAATCGCTAATCGGATCACATATCGCTTTCCGCTCCCCGCCCCGCTCGTCGCTACGCGCGGCCGCTAGTGTCGCTGCACCCGCTGCCGCATATGTCGCCACGAGCAATTAATTCTCTGTCACAAGAGCGTTTGGGCGTCTCCGTGCTCCTCGTTTTGTTTCGTCCCGAGCAGTAATTAGGACGTTTTGAGGTTCATAAAGGAAGCGTTACTTTATATCGACAACGCAGTACATAAATCTTCATTCGTTCGTTAATTGGCTGTTTCGAGATCTACAAACACGGGTGGCGGCCGGTTTTGTTTTGAATTAATTTACAAATCGTTGTTGTAGATGGCTTGTGTTGACTTCTACGCAGATCAAAGTGAGTTCGAGCTTAGGGCCATTACTAAACACAATGGCTTCGAGGACGCATAGCCGAAAGGTCTGCTAAATAGTTCCCCTGGGAAAGTGATTATTGATTCGGATTAAATGTAACGTACTCTCGGATTTAGTAGCAATCAACAGCACACCGCATTTTGAACGTACCCTAATGATGTTTTAAATGTTGAATCGATAGGCAGTTCGTTATTGTCTATAAGTAGGTACTTTTTGTACCGAAATTTATTGTTAACATTTCGAAAGTCTACAGCAACTACTTCAGAGCGCAAAGAGCTCGATATCGTAAAGTTCGATCGCCACAAGGCGGCCCAACGCTGCCTGATTCGGCTGACGTCACACCTTTGACAGCTCAAACATTTGTCGAACGCCGTAGATAGTGTCACAGATAACGCGAACCCTTACAACAATAAGAGCACACTTAGCATGTTTGCACCTGCGCCCAAGTCAAGATCGATTCGTCCCGAGCGCGTACAATTTAAATTCCGTACAAAAAAGACGCGAGCACACAGCCGCCCGGCCACGAGTGTCGGAGAGGCGACATATTTACATAGATACAGATCTCGTGCGGCCCGATTAATCGTTCAGAAATTTGAATTCCAAGCGGTCATAAAAAAGTGTCACCGGATTGTCTCGTTTCGGGACGCTCGCCGTAGCGCATGAGGTCGGAATGAAACGTCATTATTCGCCCATTGCCACGTCGGACGCCGATACGGGAGATAAAATCGGTGGACGAAAAAAAGCGTGCGCTGTCGTGAATGTGCTTTTTTGTGCGCTCGCCGTGCGAGACAGTGCGTCGCCGCGGGATCTTTTCCCGGGAAAACGCCGGGCCGCCCCGGGCCGCCCCGGGCCGCGACGCTAACTCCTACACCCACCATTGTCGCTGTGAGTCCGTGGACCCCTTTGTCTGTCGAGGTGACAATGTTTGTTGAGGTTCACGCATCCTCGGTGCACACAATGCGTTTTTTTCTCCCGAGGCGATGACTTGTGAATTCGCCGTGATCGATTGTTCCATTGAGCGCATTCGGATAGAAAAATTACTCTAACAACCTGTCGCCCTTCTGCGTGCGTGTGTTTTTAAACTTCTATGAAGATGTGATTGGCTCAACTGTGCAGTCTTCGACCCATTGGGTCTTGTGTTCGATCCTCACACAGGCAACATACAGAGGACAATTCAGATACCGAGTGTTATTTCATAAATAACTCTCGTAACAAACTTATCATCGCTAGCGTAAGATATTTTAAATGTTTACAAATCATTGCATTTACATTAGATAACCATTTAAATGAAGATAATGTAACAGACGTAAGTAAAAGTAAAAGGGCCATCCTTAATACTTCTACCATTCCTAACATTTAACCTAAACTCGAGGGGATAATCATGAAGATGACTGCCGATCACCGACCGCGCGTACACGCGTAAACGCCTCAATAGATGCTTAATTGAAATTTATCTCTCATTTCTCAGCATCGACAATCGATACCACAAAATTTCCGATGCGCGCCCATTCCCGCATTCACCGTCCACAAACGAGTTCTAGCTCCGACATAATCGAACAATGTAATGAAGGAGCAAAGGCAAACACGATTTCAATAACAAAGGGCGTCCATGACAAATAAACATATTTCACGGGCCAAAATGGCTGCGGTCAGGTGTCGCTGGATGCCCCTTCCGCCCTGCCCTCCCCCTTAACGCACCTCTTTCTTCGATAATCGATTCATTCTTATGAAGGCAATCCTTTTTATTTGTGTCAGTTCTCCTGTCGTAGTTCACCCTTTTTGTGTTTCGCAAACAAAGCTTCGAATGGTTAATGCGGGTAATGAAATATTTATGTCGAATTTATAATATCTGTAAAAGCGTTTAAACGCACGCATTGATGCCAATTATATATTTATTAATCATTTATGGAGTCGTATTGGTGAGTGATTAAGGCTGAACTTTACAAATGCACTCTTGACTGTACGTACCATTTAGATAGTTTGCTTTGTACTGCAAGATATACGTTTATTAAAATTGTAGATTGATTAAAATTATCGCGCAATCGTGCCATAATCAGGCGAATTCTTAGCACATTTCAGGATTGGCCAAGTGGACAAACTTTCGTTTTTGAATCGAGCGGTACCAATTTTTCATATTCGTAAAGTTGTTATACATTCATATAAAAAAAACCTATATACATGTCACATTGCTATACAGAGAGTAATAAAGCACGCGGCGCGGGCCTCCGTGCAGATTGGTGTAGGTACTTACTTTGTTCGAAATAGAAAAAAAATAAAGAATTAGAAAATTTTCTATTATTATTTCTTCTGATCTGCATTCCTCAGGATATTTTCACATGAAATTAATTTGTTATAGCCGTCCGACTTTAAGTTACGAGGTCTCACTACATTCACTTGATTTTTTTAAGAGTGGTCATTAAAAAGCCAAGTGTCGCTGTGTCATTGCAAATGCTCATTATTCAAGGAGTAATACGTCGCGATAACACGAAACCAACATAAGTCAAAAATACAAGAAGTCAACGTACTTGCTTATGAGAGGATTTAAAATAATGTAACATGGAATTATTTATTTGCTCTCCGTCCCGTTCGCGCACACGGGAAAGGGCTGAGCTGCGGTGTGCGCGATCTCTTTCTCGTTGGCCATCGATCACGCGAGGTGTGACGTCACGCGGAGCCGTCGTGTGCGGCCTGAGTGGATTTATTGCGTCTGCGCACCCAGAAAAACTATATTTGTGTCCCTTAATTTTACAATTATTTCCATAAAAATACGCTGCACTTCAAAGAAATATTTATTTATACAAACCCAATAAAACTATTTTTTTAACGGTTTTATGACTTGTTACTAGGCTTACAAGAATTAAATGAAAGAATCGTTTATGGCTCGAAATTATTCCATAAGTATACTATAATATTTTATTTGTAATAAATATAGTTTATATCAAATTTTAACTATACAATTAACATTATACCAATAATATATTGCTAATAGAATTAAAGTAGGTTTACAGTTTCAAATTTGTATCTATTTTTAAGCGACGGCAAAAATTAAAAACCGAAGAATTGACAGATGCCACTTTCATTTTGAAAGTTATCGTAGCATCTATATGTTAATAAGTTCTACGAGGACATAAAAATGTGGCAAATTGCTTACTCACTGATCTTTCGGATTCTTAGTAGCTCCGAGCATGAGTGTAAAGTCGATCTCATACTGACAGTGGGCTCGCTTATGGACCTGCTAAATCGCTTGGACAGAGATTCTAATCACAGGCTTGCCCTGAACTAATTTTTTGCCTGATTATACAATTCTACGAATGCCTTCGAAAACTCGAGAATCCACCGAACGCCATTAGGGATCCCCAGCAACAAAATCGGACAGAATGTTTATATGCACACTAATTATGAAGATAACGACGTCGATTGCGGAAGACCTTTACAATCTGCGCAGAGTTTATTTCATAATATCCATAGGCACTATCCAGGAGAATTTAAACTTTATGGACATGCTAGATGAGGAAGGGAATGATGAAAAATGATTGGTGTTATAAAAATGGCTTCCGTAGAAATGTGAAATGTTTTTTTTTTTTACATATTAAAAGAATAACAATCAACTTTCTTAAACTTCAGCTATTTTATTGTACCTCATGTTTTAATCGTATCACACCGTTTATCAGAAAGAAAAGCCGGTTCTTTTATAATTATTTCAATGATATTCATTGAAATAATTTTCACGGACTTTGTCGCGTTCAGTTTTCTACTGTAGGCTGCGTTCATTCGAAATCCCTAAAAATTGTTTCGTATAGCATGTGTTGTTCGCGTGGATGGGAGAAATTACAGTGTTAGTTCGCAAGTCTTGTGGGGACTGACATCTTTGGCCGTTAGTACTTCGTCACTGCCCTGCATCAATCACCGGGCACGTTGGCAAAGGAGCGGGCTCGGCTGCCCGGCGCAGCGTGACATTTATTTATTCCACAGAATGTTCCCGTCGTGTTTCGTCCGTCGTGGGCCCTTTATACGTGTTTACTTGTTACTTGAGCATTTATCTCCCGCTCCTCGTCGATTCGGATAAAGCTGCTTATGAGCCGTAAATTCTTTAAAGCCTATTAAATATTTAACAGATTGCATATCGCGTTCTTTTGCCTGAACTCCTCCTTCCACTGTGTCGGTGCATGCGCGTTGTAAACATCCACGGCCAATTTATCACTTCCCAATAATTAGAGCGCCTTTTGCAGTTGGCTTGCGCCGGCGTCGCCGCGTCGCCCGTTTCTCACTCCTTGACGCGTTTTTGTGTGTGATTTTTTTTCTCGTTTCCCGCCCGGGAATAATGTCGTTATGGCGCCTTTAATGTTGTCAGTGCGAAGGAGAGGCCCGCCGCCCAAGACGAGCGTTTGTTGATACTTAAATTGGGCTGTTTTGACACGCCTCGCCCTTATGTTTGTACTAAATCTAATAAACGTCGGTAGCGGACGGCGTCCCATTAGTTATTCGGGCTTCGATGAATTACGCTTGTGGATTCGGAAACGATTGGGATACATTCTTGGACATTGTGGGATAAATTAACGAATACGCTTGCCGTCCAAAAAACAAATTGACGCGAAACAATAACGTCGGTTGTCTATGGATATCCTTAATGTATACGCGCCGATACCGTCGGCTACCACCGGAATTTAGTTAGACTCATTGAGTCGAGAGCAGTCGTGAGATAGGCCATTGTAGTCAATGGCATTCGCTAGAAGTGGGCGTGCAAGTTGAGTGGCTTTGCAGCGGTCGACCTCCGACACCACAGCCCGACTCGACATACGAAACCACAACTTTCCACATTACCCGAGCTCCTAGAGCAAACTAGTTTTGCCACGAAAACTCTCTGTTTATCAGAAAACTTTTACGATATTAACATACATACAAATGTAACACGAAGCAATTAAATTTGGACACACTTTCCCGATAAAAAGCGCCCTAATTAATAGATTGAAGTATTGTCACAGAGCGTTCAATATACCGTGATGTTCATAACTTCCTTTGATCCCAAACAATGCTGGCGGGGACGTTTATCAAGACGTTTCATAGATTAACGCGACTCCGTGGCCGTGCACATCAAACGAAAACATAAACAATTTGGATCACAGAAAACGGAATTAGTTAATTCCCTCACAATAGCGTTTTTGAGAATAGCTGCCCAATGTGACGGCCTCGTGATTTTTCCGGCAACGAAACAACTCGAAGAATTTCGATTACATAAAACGCGCGTCGCCGGTTCGTTAGTTGGGTTCGTCGCTCTAGAATGCGCGGCTAGTGCGAACTTGTCGAAATACCGCGCAATTAACTAGCGCGTAGGTAGCTAGTGGAGCAGATCAACGGAGCTCCGCTCAGTCGGCAGGTAATTACTGGCGGCGACTGCGCCCGCCGCTGAGAGATTGACACGTGCACGCGCGTTCCTCTAGAATATGCCAGCGATCGGTTAGGGCGTTTAGGCGGATCACGAGCTTATCGCGGATTTATGGATCCGCTCCGGCGCTAGATCCGCGGTTTTAATGACGACGGTTCCACTCGGGGATCCGTCGTAAATACGCGCCGCAAATTGCGGCCGGCCGCAGCGGGGGCCGTCGCAGCGAGGGGCCGATTTCTCGTCCGTGCCTGCCTCCGCTCCGCCGAACCCATTTTTAACACCTCGCACCGCGCTTAAATCAGAACTGCAACACTTTATGGGTGCAACGGCACAATTCAGCCGATTCACTTGAAATGTGCGGTGCGCTGTCGCCGGTCTCGGGGACGCATCTGTTGAAAGATTTATAAGTAATTGCGGTTTATAATGACCTTTCTCAACACGGCAGGGTTAACGCTCCCGCGTTTCTGCTAAAACCCAATTAAAAATGATTTTGTCATAACTGTTTCTACTCGTACATTATTATATTTTATCTATTGTATAAAATTGTATAAACCTTAAGCATATAATGTAGAAACTTTGTTAAATATTAATTGAATATTGTAACACTGCAAAAGTAAATGAATCCCAGAATATTTTTATATTGTTATATTGAAAAATAAAGAACCTATTAACTAATCCATTTTTTGATTTATGTCTCGTGTAACACAGCAACCAAAACTAAGAAAGAAAATGTTGATTGTATTAACCATTCTTTCTGTTATGTAATATCTGCACCGAAATAACGCTGTCTTTCTCTTTTGTTTCAGATCACAAAACTGAAAATCGACAGTAATCCGTTTGCCAAGGGATTTCGGGACTCTTCACGTCTCACTGAATTCGAGAGGTAGGTATTCACTAAACAAATGTTTTCTTTTCGTGAGCCAAATTTTGTGAAACTCACTAGACATAACTTGAATATTTACTTAGGTTATTTACCTATGTTTAACGTATATGAATGTATTAACTAAGTAAATATTTTTAGTTGTTATAATTATGATGTTGCACAAGTAAATTCATTATTAGCCATAATTTACGTAACAATTTCGACTTCATTAAATATCAGTTTATATAACATAGAAAGAGATTTCGCCGAATCATCGCTTTGATCTGCCACACGATCACTGATCGCTTATTAAATACGCTTATGACAGAGTTTCAATCATTTCCTAATCGCTCATTGGACACGCTCTCAGAAACTAACGCGAACACAAATCGATACCAACTTAATTACGTCTCAATCCGCCACTTCATAGGTGATCGACGTTACTCCCGCGTCGGCTACATTCATAATTTCACGATTTCTCTTCGCACAATCGCCTAGTGCGACATTAATAACCCAATGCTAACACCGCAACGCAATTGAACCTCCATTTGCGGCCGAATTACGTCAAGCATGATGATCTTTCATTTTGTATGTTTCTTTGTTGAGATTCTATATCACTGGAGAGCACGAACGAACATCGGTCTTCGATGACGCGCGCTACGGTGCCCCCAACCCTAGGTACATACGAATTCATTACGCTTCGCAAAGTTCGCGCGGTGTTCGCATGGCCGACTGACGCGTCCGTTCGCCCGTTGCAGGGAGACGATGGAGTCGATGCTGGCGGAGCAGCACTACCTGCGCTCGCCGCTGCGCCCCTTCGACCTGGACCAGCACAACAACAACCTGACGCTGGAGGAGAAGGCGATACTGGCGGCGCGCTCGCAGCTGTTCCTGCGCGCGGCGTACCCCCTTTACGGAGTGCCGGCGGCCGCCTTGTGGGGCCAGTGGGCCTGCTTAGCGCCACAGCTTCTAGCGCAGCAGCACCTCGCATCTGGCTCAGGGCTGCAGCTGCCGCGACCCGTTTATCCGGGCGGTGTGCCGGCAGGGCTGTCACAGCACCGCTTCTCGCCCTACCCGCCACGCCGTTCGTCGCCCGGCTCCTCGCCGGACTCCATCCGCGACGCCAGCCCTCACCCGCTGCCCCCGCACCCGCCGCACACCCCTCACCCGCCGCACAGTCCAACTTAGTGACCGCCCAACGTTCGCATGTTCTCGAGATCTCTGTATAAATAACACTTTATAGATTACCGGTATTAATTCGTAAAAGTAAGTTTAATGGCGTCTCAAAGTGACACGTGCTCGTTTTAGTGATGATTGCGTTAGTTGTTAAGTGTTTGCGAACTTGAAGATGTTTACGTGCTTTCGGATGAGTGTTATGAATACTGTAAATTCCTATCGCGGACAGTGGCGGTTTGAATAGAGCTGTGTTGCTATTTCATTTGTATCATAGTGTATAAATTATTTAAAAATAGTGTAATAATTTAATAATTGTTACGGTAGTTATTATGATGTTATGTTCCTAATTAAATTGTCTTGCAGCTATGGTTCTCATAAGCATTAATCAACGGCTGGTTAGGGTTAAACGCATTATCACAACGGACGCCATTGTCGTATTGTTTTATGTTCCTCCCGTTCGGAACAGATTTCATTTGACTAAATGGCATGTGCAATAAAACTGACAAGAACGTAATGTTTTAGACAATTTAGGCGTCTACGCTAACATAGGTGTATTGTTAAAATGTAGAGATTATATTCCCTGCCCGTCGACAGTTTTTTTCCAATATTGAAAACTGTGACCTGTACACGGACAGATAGATGTACCTATCTAATTAGTTTGTAGTTAAATTATAATTATTATAAATAATATATTGATAAAGTATAAAAAAATAAATGTTTATTAAAATATTTAACAATGTGTTTTACTGTATTGTGTTGTACCCCTCGTATTTATATAGTATATATAATATATAATACATGCTCCTCATAAATCACAAAATATGTGAAATTCAAGTGAATATATCAAAGTAAATATAAAATTTAAAAAAATCTTAATAAAAGGTTAAGAAAGGTAGCGCCTGGAATGATCAATTTCAAATGATGACTTAATTCGCCGTTGGTTTTTCCAGTTATTAAAAGATCATTAGCTGCATAGGAAATATTACAAAAAATATAGAAAAATGCAGTGTTATTAAAGTCAAGCTCTTGTATCTTAGTATTAAAATAATAGGAAATGTTAATAATGACGTAATGAACATGTTTTTACATTTCTTAATATCTTTAAATGGTTGCATATATTCGTTGAGAAGATTAACTCTACAATAAAGTAAGGGCATAAAATCAACATACGAAGGGTATACTAATAAGTAAATAAAATAAAATGAAATAGTAAGTAATAAGTACTTACTATTTCATGCTTGGTAATTTGAAGTAAGCTGACATTTTACATCGAGTAAATGATTTAGAAGCCATTATTTAAATGCGATTTCGGGAAATACTTGCTTTCACCAGCGACCGCCTTTTGCTAAGAATTGAACATGGACACCAAGCGTTTATTTATCTACCATGATGTTTTCGCCATCAGTCAATTGCCATGGAGATTACAAAAAAGGTCATTTATGACAAGTCATCCATCAAGTTCTTGATTTAGAAGAACCAATAGGTACTTATATGTACAGTTTAGAAATAAAGGTTATAAATCTAAAAAATCCTTAAGACTCCCAACTCAGCATAAATACAAAACAAAAGAAACATACCATAGTCGTTTAGCAGGATCGATATTAACATCACAAGCCGATAAGTTACTGTGTGTTTGCAATTTTAATATGTTCAAGCGTGCATTCGCTTGGGTTTTCTAAAGCTTCGTTGGTCTGTCGAGCCAACGGAATTATAGTTTCCTGAGGGATTCCGCGAAACTGGTTATTGCAGTCTGTTTGATATTGAGTACCGTTCATCAGTTTATCAATTTAATACCCACAAAATAAGTTTCATATATGACAGTTTTAAATTTGATATATTTTTGTTTAATAAATATAAACTTTGTAGGCCTGACCCAACCTAAAATAAAATCTTAAAACAAACTACAAGGCATAAAGAAAAATTCATATTTACGTATGATGTGAAAAACATTCTTTAAATGTAAAGTAAAATAAAGTAACAGCCTGTCCATGTCTCACTGTTGGGCAAAGGCCTCCTCTGTACAGAGAATATCAAGACATAGTCCACCACTCGGCCCCACTGCGGATACCTTAAATATCATACATAATATTTTAACGTTACACATTCTGTGGAATACACGAAGATAAAATAAGCTACCGAAATAAACGAGGCTTAATGCTTTTACATTTTTTTATTTGCCTTTGGAATGTGTGAAGTGGTAATAAAAACAAATCAATACAGGGCGATAATTGTTTCATTTATTTATCACGAATATAAAACGACTTAAAACCAATATGGTAGTTAGTTAACTATGTTTGCCTGTCACAGCCGTCAATCCATCAGTGGGATATGACAATGCACGATGGAGCATCGACGAGCTATTTTTATTACGACGCGACGCCGAGGTCAAGCTAACCGGTTTGTTGTGTAGTAGAGCAGCGCTAGATGGCGTTACGTGCATTAAAAATCACGTCCAACAATCATGAAATAGAACTTTCAAGTTGAGTATTACTATATTTTTTACACTGATATTCAACAGACAACAGTAGCCTTTCAATACCATTCAAAGTGTATAAGAGTGCGACATGATAAACAAGCTTTACGGGTATTATACGTAATATCTGTGTCTGCATTTTGGTGAAAATGCATAAAAAATCAAAATAGTATAGAATTTTTCAATTAATTTCATATTAAATGGTTATTCTAAAATATAAAAACTAGAATTTTAAAGACAAAACACAAATTATAAGTTAAGATCTAATTTAATTTGAGACAATACAAAAAGAGACAATGCTTTCGTTCACAAATACTAAGGGTTCACTGTATTATTCCTTTCAACCCAGAAACGTTATTGATTCGAGATGAACACAAAGCGTAACAGATTGCGAAATCGTTACAAATTAGTGCGACACGAGCGGCAATTATGCAAAGCAAGTATAAAGTTATCTCTAGGAAAACATTGAGGCTACCCCACGCCAACTATTCAATTAAAATGAAACAGTGGCGCGGCGTCATTCGGGTCACATAGGAGGGTCCGGGGCGATGTCGAATTAGTGCGGCGCGTGGCCGCATTACCGGGACAAATTTCACGTCTCTAGGGTGCCCCGGCAACAAGGGATGCAACGCTAATCTAATCTGGATTGTAGCTAATAAATGATGTATCCACTGACGCGGGCCTTGGAAATTTATCGCTTGTAAAACTGTTTCCAATCGCCCCGATTGTCGGGGCGCTGGTGGCGGCGCGATTTGGCCTGATTGAATTTCCCCCGTCATTTGCTTCCCGCTACGCGTTAATTACTTTTATTGTGACATACAAGGACATCATCGCTTCGATACTTCTATAGCATTTTTATCGTGTCATGTGTCTAATGATTTATTTTGATATACAACAGACCTACGACTAACGAAGTGGGTAAGCGCAAATTGTTTAGTATCTGTCTCTACTCTCTCATTCTTATGTACCTAGTGTACAAAAATTAATCTTTTGAAATCGAATAATCTCAGGACAAAGTATGTGCCGACATACGAGGCAGTGTTTTTTGGTTTATTTATATATATAAGTTGACAAGTACGCTTATGCTCGTTGTTGCCTCTGCTTCTTTGGCGTAGGTCATTCTCTGGTTAACAAATACTTGAAATTACTACATTAAATGCGAATTACTACATAAATGAGAGAACCTAACAACATGAGTCATTCACCATCAAATCAAGGCCCTATCTAGTATGTCGTAAAAAGCAAAATTCCAAAATGTGATTACATTACTAACCTATCATGGCGATCTATTATTATTTCTAATCTGTTTATAATTAAAGCATATTAAGAAGTTTAAAGTGATACAATACATACTAGTGATTACTTGCAACAGCAAGATATAATACAAAAGGCGTTCTCGTGGTCTACAGCTTTAGGTATTTGTGTGAAACAAAAGCTTGTCTGGCGAGGATTATTGACATAGCTCCTTGCGGAGGGCCGGAGCGTATCGCGCGTAATGCCGTGTTATTGGCCACTCCGCTCATAATCCTCTTTTAACTGCGGATCCCGGGCGAGGCGGACGTGTCCCGAATGTTTATACGCGATGTTTTCGCGTTCGCGAACATTCGCACTTCTTAGATGTAACGTGGAGCGTCGACAGTCTGTGCCGATGGGAGATTATATATAAATGTAAATAGGGCCTTAATTAAATAACCCGCAAAACATGTTACGCTTTTCATTCGGTAGAGTCAATCAGGTCAATAATGTAAGATTAAACCAAAGGCGAGATAAAAGATTACAAAGTACACATATAGGTTTGAACACAAGTACAGGTTCGAAAAATATTACTGTCTGATAGTATTAATTTTTTGAAACAAACAACTACATGAATTTTAAATTGGCTAAAAATGGATGATCAAAATACATAGAAACTTCGTTGTAAATATTTTTGCGATGCCATAGTGTAAAATGCAATATGATACACATTTTTTTCCGTACGACATAATTATTGATTCTTAATTTATTTTACATAACTTGCCTTCAATGTTAAGTTGAACGCACCAAACAAGCAAGATAATCAGAGATCAAGTTAGATCATGAAGTTACAGTTTTCTTTATCATTTTTTTAGGGCAGATCTCACTCTACACAATCTAAGTTATATCAGAGCGTCTTCTGATACAGTTATAACTTAAAACTAACGTTTTCATGCAGTCTTGGCATTCGTATGTTTTATTTGTTACAATTGTGAAGAAGTTGAAAAGTTTAAAAATGCACAAATTCCCTTTTTCCTCGACCGAATACAAAACGGCTCTGTGCAGGGGCGCCAAAGAGGGTGAACGTCGTAACGGCCTCGTTAGGAGCGCACACATCTCCACATTTCACGAAAACTCCAAACATAACTGGGCAATAAATTCACGTTTATTACGGCCAACACGTATACATGCATACATCCCCACCTTGGCAGTCGCTACCGGAACAAATCGGCGGCCGACCGTTTACGCAGAACGCTCCGTACGTGCCATATGAAATATTAACGTTTACGTACGCGTTACTGTA